AATCGTCACTAAAATAACCAACTACTGCTCTAAACTGTTGATATGCTGTCACCTCATGCATTGACGATTGCATTGAAAGAACAACATCGTATAAATAACTTATAATCAGCATAAGTTCTACAGGGTGGCCTTCAAGTCAAATCTCCTCAGTTCAGGAGTGAAAGGATCTTGCAGCATTGTTAGGCACCTAAAGACGTACAGTCAGTGGAAGTCGTTGACCTAGCCTTTAGCCTGCCACCGACTAGATATACTATTTCTGTGACAATTGGCAGACCAGAATTGTCCAGTACAAACAACAAGTCACAAATTTTTAAGAACGTCATTGCCTAGTTGTTGAACCATGTTTTCTTGTCTCTCCTCTCTCCATGTAATTCGCAAGGGACACCTCCGGAGAGCACATTGGTGCCTCTGGAATGTTGTGCAGATATCCTAGGTGTGGAAGTTGTAAGAGACGCCAAAATATTATGAATAAGTCGCTATAGTTGTTGAGGGAGCATATGGAGAGGCAACTGCCACAAAACACATCTAAGTAAATTCAGACATCACCTGTTCAGTGTGGATGAACCTGTGGTGACTGTTAATATATTAATCATAGCAGCCCTGGGCCCTGTTCCACAGAGCGATCGTAGCACTAGAACTATCGTAAGCTTATGTTAAAGTATGGGTGTTACGATCATCTTAGCATTACAAACGCTTTGTTGAACTGGGCCCTTGTTGGTTGGTTGGTTGGTTGGTTTGGTTTAAACGCCGCACGCAGCAATATTCCAGCTATATGACGGCGGTCTGTAAATAATCGAGTCTGGACCAGACAATCCAGTGATTGATATCATGAACACCGATCCACGCAATTGGGATCGATGACATGCATCAACCAAGTCAGCGAGCCTGACCACCCGGCCCCGTTAGTCGCCTCTTAAGACAAGCATAGTCGCCTTTTACGGCAAGTATGGGTTGCTGAAGACATATTCTTTAGTTTGCTGAATTCTCGTCAAGTTTGTTGGCAATCTTAGATTTAGTTATAACAGTATAATAGTTTAATATTAGATTCAACAATAAAGATGCATAAGTAATTGTTTTAGATAAAATATTCAATTACATTTCCTTTTTTATTTGTATCAGTACACCACAATACTAGATTATGACCGTCTAAATCGCCCAGCTTATACAGGGCTACGGGAGCTTATCATACAAAGTCTGAAGATGTGAGGATAGTTGACGAAGGTGGAAGATACAGGGAACATAATGTAAACACTATGTCAGAGTTACACGGACAGCCACAGTTTGAAGATTAGTGTTAAGTCAGTGGAACAGGGCAGGATGACTGGTAAGCGCTTACCGACGGATGTAAAATTGATCTTTGTTTTTTAGGTAAGTTTCTTGGAGACAAAAAGTCGACGAATTAAAGTATTGAATTAATGGTTGTCATGCATCTAAATTCTTCTTGTATGTTTTGTGGATTCATGGTGGTGCTTCCACATGATACATACGTGAGGATGACTTTGTATTACTCCTGTTAAATTTGTGTCATATGGAGATGTCCCCTCATTGTCCAGGAGACCAAAGTAGTTATGTACCTCTATGGGAATCTCTAAAGAAGAGGTGGCATTTGGTGGTGGTGTTTGCAGCTGCTCTTTTTTGCAGCTTTTTGTCTTAATTTTCCTTCTTTTTTTAGAGGAACAATTTCTGATTCTGGTTCAGGTACTGGTTTTGGAGTCTGAGACTACTGTTTTTTTAGTTTTTTGGTTTGGGAGGTGTCACTGATGAAGGTGTCACAGCTGGTTTTTATAGTGAAGCAGTAGGAAGGGGTTAACCAGGCTTGACCCATGTCAGATTAGTCTGGCAGTCAACAGAAGCAGTAGTAACAGCAGGACAGGAGACTGCAGCAGAGCAAGAAATAGTAGAAGTGGTTGCAGTAAGACCTGCAACCCTCTTAGATTCTTGAAAGATGTTTCCTTCATGTTTCATTTTCAGTATTTGTAATTCATGTTGCGACACAGGGCAAGATTTAGAAGATGCCATATGGTTCCCACCGCAGATTGACACTTCACATCCTTCCTGCAGTAAGTAAGAAACAGCAGAGTCATGGCAGGAAACACTTGACAGTTGTAGCACCGGAGTGGATTGGGGATATAAACCTCCACTCCAATGCTACAATAACAAGCTTTAATTGATTGTGGAATATTCGAACAGGCAAAAGTGAAGAGATAGGTGTTGGTCGGTTCAACCACACCATCCTTCTTGACAGTAAACCGCTTCACAGCTGTGACAGACTGTTTGACATGTTCTTGGATCAGCTGATAATGTTTTCTGAGAGGGGGGAAAACATCGTGTCATTGGAAAACTTGAGTTTATTGAAAATGTTAGTAAATTTACCATGCTTTACCACGCTATAACCGAGTTAGCGCTATATTGAAGGGCGCAATAACAAGGGAACACTGTATTTCTTCTTTGGTCATGCCAAACAGGCAGCATGCTCTGTCATGGACAATTCCCATACATGAGTTCAGTGTCTGGTGCTCGGGGACATCAACCTTGATATTAACAAACTCTACAAGGAGAGAACCGGATTGAAGCTTGGTGATATCTGTAGCCTCTCTGCAGATACCAGCGATAACTTTGGTGATTGCAAACAGATTTAGTTGGACGGTTCCTTGTCACAAGCTTAGATAATCAAAAGGTGTGGCCAATAATCAGACCAATTTGGTGAATTCTTGAAAATTGTGAAATTCTATTTGTCTTCATTTTGAACCAGGGAAGTTGGGAACCCATGTCTTAAGGAAAATGATTCAGCACCCCTTTTCCCTACCCACCATCGAGTGTCAACAAGGACAGTCTTATGATGCAGGGGATCTCCAAGCTACAAAGACAATGGATAAAGGGATGATATACTCCAGCAAATTTGACATGAAAAGCTATAGATGTCTACCGAATAAAAAGCTGGTTCAGCCCATGATCATGAATTGGAGACGAACAGTATTCAGAGGTCAGCATCACCAGATTGGCCCATGAGCCACCACCTTCCAGGCACAGGGCTCTAAGCAAGTTTATAGACTGATACAAATATAGATAGAGTGAGTGAGTGAGTGATTGAGTGAGTGAGCATGGTTTTACGGCGCTTTTAGCAATATTTCAGCAATATCACGGCGGGAATGGGCTTCACACACCGTACCCATGTCGGGAATTGATCCCGGGTCTTTGGCGTGATGAGTGAACGCTTAAACCACTAGGCTACCAGACCACCCCCAAATATATAATAGACATTTAGAATGAGTATATTTTCAAAATGCCAAATGCTTGTGCAAATTACTGTATGCACAAGACATAACATGACCAGTGGATTGACAGAATGGGGCCCATTTTTACCACCCATCTAGGCAAGGTTAGGGTCGAAGTGGTGTGTTGGACAGTATTACGGCCCTGTCGCCCTCAAGCACCAGACTCCCTTCCTCCACCTACACATGGACGCAACCCACAGCAAACAGTTTGCCCAATCTGGTTGCCTCTAACGACCAGCAGTGGGGTGCTGGGGACAAATTCTACTCCGGGTCTCCACCGGAAGTATACCTTAGTTTAGCTGCAAGTTTTACAAAGTGATATCAGCTTGATGACAGCATTAATGCATTATCAATCATTGAAAGATGATACGTTACAAGGTGATCTCAGACTCCACTTTCAACATCATGGGGAACCTGGATTTAAACCCATGATCACAGGTTTCTGGTATGCCTGAGGGACGTAACTCTGCACATTGTATTGTGAAGACTCAGCCATACATACAGCCTCAAATTCCTAATAAATGACTCAAGCATGTCTCATTAGTTTGGAATGCTTATTTCAAAAGGTATGACCTCGGCCTTCTTCACCAAACTGCGAGGTAACATGCCAGAACTAGGTTGAGCACAAACATGAAGTCCCATGCCATATGTTCTGAATGAAACAGTTAACCTGTCATTTCATAAGTGATTGATTTTTACCTTGACCATGACAACTGACACAACTATGACATATGACATGTTGATTAAAGATAATTTACAGATTGAAAAATGTCTCATTTTATCATAAATAAACATCAAATATTTCTAAGGTTTTGGCCAAGTTTCATACCATGACATTGGTGATCTTTACTTTATAAGGAGGTAATCCAAAATTTTCTCTTCCTATGACCTTCATCTGGAATATGGGTACAATGTGTGAAGCCCATTTCTGGTGTTCCCCGCCATGATATTGCTGGAATATTGCTAAAAGCGGCGTAAAACCATACTCACTCACTCACTCATCTGGAATATTGTCTCGGACATCTGTTGTTGAAACCAATTGTTCAATGCCATCAAACCCATTAAGCATCCCACCCTACAGGGAAGATGCTTCATTCTAACGGTAGAGTCACTCTGGTCCACTGGCCCCTAAGACTGAGATTTGGATGACACCAAGTTCATTCCCTTATCTACAAACAACAAGACGAAGTCATCAATGTTACCTGCCCTTTTAAATGTGCATCAAATCAAAAAAGCTATGACATATATCTCATTATACCAAAAATGGTTACTGCAAAAACTTGTGACTAAAACTTTTTCTATAGACAGAGCCTTTTGAATATACATGCACTGCATTACCAGCAATGTCCAACTCTGTCAGAGTATGATGTCACACAATCAACAAATTCACCAAGTCTGGCCATGCAATGCATTAATTCACCTCCTAAAAACAAGCATCAATAAGTTCAACTAGTTGCCCTATAATCACAAAAAATGCGATGTATAAAAGTATAAAAATATCAAACATAAACTTTGCTGAATAGCAACAGGCATCAGTTCAGTGCATGCCTGATGAGTTTTACGAGTGATGTTCTGGAAATGAAACGTGATGGATGGATTGATGATGCCCATTTCTGTATCCCCCACAAAACATTGTTTGTCTGGTGGAAAATGAAGCCATGCTGTGAAACAGCAAACTGGACATTACAGGTCATATGATATGTTGATAGGAAAACAGACATAATGAACATATAAAAGTAGTTTATTAAACAGGTACATTATTTAAATTGTACACTAACCATGCTAACAGATAGTCAGAAAAGTATGTTGTAGTCAGTTGCGTAGAATATGCAACCGTCACTGTTTCTCGCCTGCTTTCTGGGTTGGCACACCTCTGAGATTATGACACTTCTTGAAACAGAGCTACAAGTATAGCTGGAGGGATGTCTGATGAAGTATGTACAAATGTAAACACAATTTACAATACACTTGATGTTTATAGTTCAACTGACCACAACAAAAAGTCACCAAGCAAAATACTTGAATTTTTGTATATGTCTTCAATTGACAATATAATCAGCAGTAAAAGTATAAAAGGAACAACATACTCACTGGTGATTTGAAAAATCTAATACAAAGAACAAAACAAGAACTTCTGATATACATATTCACAAATTGATTTCAATTTTTATATTAAACTTCCCAAGTTAATCTGCAAAATCATAAAATATACACAATGTGGCCTTAGAAATCATGTTGCCCACGGTGACAAATAATGAGTACAAAGTAGTGACTTTTCAAATATTGACTTCCTCAGATTATTGAGAATGAATGACAGTGATCTCCGAGGCCTTGATGTTATCTCAATGGAATGATGACCATAAACTGTCCACAACCTGTCCTTGTAGCAGCAACATCAGGTACACCATACATTGTATACTGGACGGATATAATGGAATGTCCTCCCCCTGCCATCCACCTGCACATGCACATCAGTCTGGCTCACAATTGGAAGACACCTGAAATAAATTTGGTTTTGTGTACTTTATCTTCAAATTCAGATCATGAGATTTAGACCAAAAGCAACTCTTTATACAGATTATTGAATTCCTAGTTAAAAATTTAGCAGTGTCAGCAATGTCTACGTTTAGGCCTCTAGCAAATGTCTCATTCATTATCTCTTACCTCAGGATCTGGCAAATGTGATGATGGAGATTATGCTGAAGATAAGCTCCAATCCTATGAGAGCTAGTTGTATGGCTGCCAGTATCACCTCCACCCGGAGCACATATGTCTGCCACAGTATAATGAACAGAGCCCCAAACAGAGCAGGGATACTCAGCAGAACACACACGATGACACCAACAGTCTGTTCTGTTAGGTTGCCCTTTTGACCTGCACAAAAATCAAATAACATTGCTACAGCAATGCTGACATGTCCTTGTGACCCGAAACATGAACTCAGTCAACAGTTTTCTGAATGTCAGGCTCTCAGTTCTGTATTCATTTTTTCACACTAACTTCATTGGAAAGTAACTTCAGCAATGCCGTTCTCAAGAAACCAAGAGGTTTAAGAGGAGATGTTGATAATAAAGTTAAACTAGAAAAACAGGGGAATGTAAAGGTCAAAGTTTTTATCTGAGTCAACATCAAAGAAAAATGCCAATACACTGTAGATCACCTGGATATGTATCCAAATGTTTAAAATGTCAACAAAGACTGACGCTTAAAGAATATTGCTATCAGCATCGAGTCAAAAACCTTCTGCATAAATAGTGAGGACTGAAAACAAACATTAAAATCTAATGATTTGAACAAAATATAATCTCAACGTTGGGAAAACTATATATGCCAAGTTCAGCTCCCTCAACTAACTATGCCACTTGAGAGAATGCAAGAGCATGACGAAAACAAGGTAAGAATTTCAGATCACTTGACTTTCAAAAAAACATTTCTAAAAATAAAGTCACAAGGCTCTGTAGCTCACCTGACTTATGAAGACATTTACACTTATATTGGTACAAACAGTTTTAATGAGTTGAAATTGGTGCAAAGAAACCTAAGAAAATTAGATAAGTTGAAATGGGATCACATTCAAGATAACGGCCCTTAGATAATGACATGAATGCATGCGTGTATGTGAGTGGCTGCTTGTATTTGTCAGGAGTAAGGTCAAACTTCACATCGCAAAAAATGAAACATTATGTCAGGTACCACTATTTACATCAATGCCAAATTTCAGTAAATTTTGAAAAAGTATGGCTAATTAACAACCATTAATAGGTTTGAAATCTTACATAACGTATTTGCTCAAATAAGCACACTGGGTCCATAAGAAATTAACAAACGGGTTGCACAAGAAAACTTACACAATTAGTAACATCAACATAACATTTGATGTCAGTGATTGAGCAGGAGAGGATAAACTTTGTTCAAACGTTGATGGAACAAAACCTGTGCGCTAATAGACAACGTGATTGATAACTCTTATTTTCAACATGCTGTCATCAATTTTGTCATGTGTGGCTTTCTTGTAAGACAATCCAGAAACATAAGCATGATAAGCAATGACATTGACATGTTTTAGTTCTGCTCCCCTGCACTCCTGATGAGTCATGCCCTACATCATAACTTCAAATATTAATAATTGACAAGATTGAAAGAAATTAATCTGCATCAATTATTGTTCCAGAAATAAAACTCACTGACCTTATCAAACACAGAACTACAGTCCAAGTTTAGCACATGGTATAACAAACTCACCCACAAGCAACAGACTGGCTTACACTAGCCAAATAACAACAGCCATAGCTTTTATGACATGACTTAATTCTATGACAACTAAGGTTTGTTTCAAGGCACCTTTAACATTAGACTGGTCATTGTTGCTGTAAATAACAGTGAGTCAGTGTAATATCCAGATCAGTTCCAACATGATTTTGCCAAAAATAAAATTCACAAAGATCCTTTCGCATCACTTTAATAGATGAATACTATGGTCAGGTCTAACTATTTACCAGTAATTCATGCTCCAACTAGTACTGGAATCTAAGCTAATAAAGACTAATCCTTAAGCCACTACAACATGTACCTTACATTAGTGTTGATTTAGTTGACAACATCAATCTGACTTGTGCAACTTCATTCCCATTTCATAGTGCCCCTGTAGGCCTCCATAAAACTGATTACCAGATTAGGAAGACAATACATATTGCAAAAATGAGGTTCCCCCATGCATAATCTTGCAGAAGAAGGTAAAGATGCAAAGCAGCAATCTATTCATGTATCAAAATAAAGCTAGTAAAATCTAGATATTTTTTATGTTTGTATACTTATCCTTCATTATTCCTTTATGCATTTACTGCTTGTTCTTGACAGAAATAAGAGCTGTATGAGGTCTTGCTGAAGAAGTTGTTCCAACTGGTTGTGTGGCTAATCCAATCACACATCTCCTACATGATCACAGAAGTGATGCAGCATGTGTCATCACATTACTGCTAGATCGTAACATCTGAAGATATCGTGGGGAGGCATCTGCAATGGGTTGGCCACTTTAGAAGAAGTTATGCAGTATAAGTATACGATTATAAAAAATATCTAGATTTTACTAGATTTTTTTAACTCATCCTGCATTGCTCCAGGGATCGATTTTGCTATATCCAAGCTGCACCTATTGCAAGTGCAGGTAACTTTTATTGCCACGTTGCACCCAGTGCAGGTAAAACATTGCAAGTGCAGGGAACTTTTATTGCCACGTTGCACCCAGTGCAGGTAAAACATTGCAAGTGCAGGTAACTTTTATTGCCAGGTTGCACCCAGTGCAGGTAACATTTCTCACCACACATGCACGGCAGGAGTTATATTTGATAAATGTCGAAAACTGAATTCTTGTAGAACTGGCTGCAAATATTTTAGAATCCAGGAAACAAAAGTGCTCAAAAATAGTGAAATACACAGGTCTGCATGCAGTGAACTTGCAGAACTAATTCTTCACAATTACCACTAGAACTGTCACTCATGAGGTTACAATCACATCAGAGACTTTGAAACTTCTGTTGAAGGTTGTTTACTGGATATCAAGATGTGAAAAGCCATATACAGATTTCCTAAAAATAAAATACTGGGCACATTCTCAAGTTTATTTTCTCTTTGAAGGTATTTAATATTCAAAAGAACTAAAAATACAGTGTTTGCCGCCAATATTTTGATGGTGCAACCTGATTAATTCACTTGGTTGCACCTGGAGCAGGTGGTTAAAAAGAATGAAATCGTACCCTGTACTCCTAAATGCATCTGCATCGGATGGCACGAAGAGGGCATTCCTTCAGATCTGATCTTCAATAAACTCTCCATAGACTCCATAGATGTGTGGCATCGAGTGACCATTCCTGTCAGCGGGGAAGGAGAGAGTCAGGTATGCGTGATGTCCAGGTATCATTGCAGTAATAGAAATGAAACGGGTTTAAAGTCTAGAACTGACATACTGAGCCAATGTGTGCACCATGTAACCTTCTAGTCTTGGGTGACACACACCGGAGAGGTTGAAAGGTCAGCTCCAGACATGTGGAAGCGTTACTGGCGTATTTTGGCAATGATCTGTGGGGCAACCACCAAAGGGCCAAAGCTGTGGATGTCTTCCACATCTTATTGGGCCATCTCTCGCAGGTAGTGGTTGACGAAAACTGTGTCCGAACACCAGAAGCAGCCTTCCATAATGGTTCAGATGGAGCAGTTGTGAAGTGCAATGGTAGAGGCGACAGCCCGGATCTCATGCAGGTTGTTGGCTCTCGGAGGATCCAGTCCCATGGCCTCATAAGCCTGAAGAATGATGTCATGAAGCCATAGTCAGTGAATGAGTTGGGTTTAACGCCGCTTTTAACAGTATTCGAGTTATATCGCAGCGTGTCAGCTGAATGTTGGAGGAAAGCTCGAAGTGATGCAGGTCTCAGACATTTACCACTTCGGTGAAACCCAGGGGCACGGGTATGGTGCTGACAAACCTAGAAACATAATCTGGGCAAACCGGGATTCGAATCCCACAATCATAGGTTTCTGGCGTGCCCAAGGGACGCAACTCTGCATAGCAAAATTGCGACGCCTTAGACGACTTGGCCACCCGTGCCCCCCATGAAGCCATAGGACGATCGTCTTGCGGTTGACTTCCACCAGCGACGATTCTTGGAGCGGCGAATGAATCTTTGCAGCGCCCGCTCCGGACATATACTACTCAAAAGAAGTTAAGGGTCACCTGATTCTTTCATATTACAATAATTAATCTCTCGTGCCATGACAGATTAACATTACTAATATGAAAGAATCGGGTGATCCTTAACTTCTTTTGAGTAGTATATAAGAAGTTCCTGTTTATCTTCAACCCCCACTATCAAAGATAGGGGCAGGATAGTGAAGGATCTATCCAGCTGTTGATTCTTGGCTATGAAGTCCCAGAATAGCCCAAGATGAATGTCTCCATGTGATCTGTGCTCAGATCTAACGTGGGTGACGTCCAGAACATGTGCTGCTATTGCTAGAGTACCACATTCAGATCCCCCGCCAGGGGTCTGAAATTGGCCTTCTGATCTTCCAGACGAAAAGAGCGTAACAAAGCTTGGAGTTGGAATCTTGGTCATCTTTCTTTTCGCCAAGATGAAGTTCAGGGCCAAAAGGTAGGTCGTGATGATGCGAGGCTCTCGGTTGACCTGATCTTTTGAAGGACCCTGGGGGTATTGGATGGCAGAGTCTTTCCAGGGGACTATGGATCGACTGCACAGGCTTGTGGATCAGGCACCGGAGACATCAGTGTTTCCGGTCATATTTTTATCTGCCGGACAGGTGCCGGCAATGTACCAAAATACCGGTCATTTGTGATTTTTGTCAGTCCTTAATAAATTCAATAAAATACAACACAAAACATACTGACTTGTTTATTAAAGTTTGCGTTTCTTTCTACGAAAGATCTTCGTAGCTTGTTTAACAGTATTGTTGACGTCTGCGTGTAGATTCAACAGCATCAGGTTGTTTATCCGTTGTTGGGAAAGACAATTGCGACTGGCAGAGTGTATCCTGTTTTGCAAACTGAATCCACGTTCAGCATCAACGCTGCTAACTGGGATAGCAAGTGCTATGGAGCACAGAGTGGAAAAATTGGGATAAATATCTGAAAGTTCAGAAATCACTGTCTTGCAACTTTGTTCGAACGAGTCGGCTCCTATGTTGTTGACCACCATCTTGAAAGGTGTGAAGTCCTGCTGCGCCCGGATGCGAGTGATGACGTCATTTTCAGCTGGACCAATCGGGAGGCAGAATTTGTCCAGTAATTTCTTGAAGGATTCCCTCCGTGAGCTGTCAGTTCCTCTTGCGTTTGGGGAAATGGATTTGGGTTGAGCACTTTGTCC